CTGTAGTCATTGTCACTGATGCAGGATCTCAAAGTTAAAATGGAAGGGGAAAACCTGAAAGTAGGTTCTGGGGAAACAGAGCTGATCTTCGAATCGAAGGGACATGGTGGTCCCTTCGTTATGCTCAGGCAGAGGGAGGCAGAGCTAAGTTAGAATCCTGACTCAGACCCCGGATGAGACCCTCGGCATGTCCCTTGCCACCCTTGAACCAGAATTACTAACAGCATCTACCTCATAGGACTGTGCTGAGAATAAACACAGTAAGAATCTGGACTGGAGTTACATATGTGTGCTCAGTCCCTTTCTTCTATGAAAGACAGGAATAGAAGCTTCGGTGGGGTGCAAAGTAAGTTTCCTGTATTTATTCTGAACCTTGTTAAGTAGCCCAGAAAGTAGTCAAGAAAAATGTGAGATTTTTTTTCAGGCCTGGAAATTGCCCATCTAGGCAGGACATAAATTATAAAACTTTTTTCAAATTAAACACGAGTTATTCCAAGTAGATGGCAATCTGGAAAAGGAAAAACTGGAGACAGGGATTAGTGGGGAAAGACGGGTGAACAGGAAGAACACACAGGGTTTGTAGAGCAGTAAAGCTACTTTATATGGTATTATAATGGCGGCTACCTGCCGTTAATCATTTATCCAAAGTCATGGAATTTATAACACCAAAGTGAACCGTATGGACTTCGGACTAGACTCTGGGTGGTAATATGACACACCGACATAGGCTCATTGATCGTAATAACTGTACCCCTTCTGGCGCTGGACGCCTCTGGTGGGGGTGGGGGCAGGAAGTATACGGGAAATCTCCGTACTTTCAGTGTTGCTGTGAACTCGAAAGTGCCCCCCAAAAGAAGGTCTACTTTTAAAAGTAGACACGATTTCACCTCCACCAAGGAAACGGAGTCACAGGAAACCGTGGCTTTCTTCGGGACTTGGAGCTAGCTTGGATCCTTCGCCCATGACCCCACGAGTATAGAAGAAGGGGTGATGTGAGCCAGCCTGGGAAGCTCATTTTGAAATACATGATCAACCCAGAGCAAGCCCTTTCCATTTTGACGCACGAGTTAAGGACAAAAGTGAATTGGAAAATGAAAGAGAAAACTGATTTTTAGCCTCAGAACTTTATGACATGTGAGAAGACGCAAACTTGGGTGCTCTGCTTCCTGGCGCGGGAGCCCACCTTTTCTGGCATTCAGCCAAGAATATTTGCAAGCAGGGAAGGGAGTCAAGTGAGACTCGTGTGTGGGTCCCGTCCACCCTTGAAGACTGCTGGACTCCAACAAGGTTAAGCCTTTTAGAAACATGTCGGTTTATTAGAAGCATAACTTGAGGAAGAAGCAAATGCTAAAATAAGCAATCAAATAAGGTCAGAGGTGTTCAGTGAGAAAGTACACTCGGGGTCTTGTGAAATCCTTCCAGGGAGGCTGGTGGAAACTACAAGGAAGTGGCCGCCTGCCCTGCTGAAGAGGGCACATGAAGGCCCCTGAAGTGAAGGGCATCAGCCCCGTCACCTCTCCCGAGTCCTCCGGACACCACGGGGTGCTTTTTTTTTTAATGCTGTGCCCCTGTTTTTCAACCAGACTGTCTCAAATATTTTTTTTTGAAAAAATTCCAAACAAACAGGAAATGGCCATTATGAAGATGTGAACCCTGCCCAGTACCTGGAGATCAGCATCCTCACCGAGCCCAGCCAATGGCAATCCAATGTCGAGCATTGTTCTCCATGGGTATTCACGTGGCCTTCCAACTTGGTATTTCTACCTCTCTGCATCTGCACACACACTATTTTTAGTACATTACTATTTTCTATTACTATTATTAGTGTTTCCAGTAGCCACACAGCTACTACCTAAATTTCCTAATAAAACACAGAAAACATCCACTGATGGATGAATGAATAAAGAAACTGTGGAGTTTTATTCAACCACAAAAAAAGAATGAAATCTTTCTTTTTCTTTTTGTGCCATTTGTGATGAAATAAGTCAGAAAGACCCATACCATGTGATTTTACTTATTCCTGGAATCTAAAATAAACAAAAACCAAAAACAAACTCATAGGTACAGAGAACCCAGAGCTGGCTGCCAAAGGGAGGGGGAGGATGGCAGGTATGCAGGAAGGAGGGTCAAAAGGTAAAAAATCGTGACTTAAAAATTTTTTAAAACAAAGTGATTCTGCTTTTATTCTGCTATGGCAAATGCCAACCTTTGTTCTTAGAAACAAGCCTGTAATGAGAAATTCTATATGCAAGAGTGCATGCAAGAGATTTCTATCTTCTTGGGCAAGGCGAGCCCTCCAAGCACAGATCTGGGGCCCGCCCCTCCAGCCACCTGAAATCCCATGGCCCTGCTCACGCGTCGCGTGTGCATCATCTGCTTCTTCAGACAACTTCCTGAACCAGATTTAAGTATTTCACCTAAATCAAGGAGCAAATACAGGTAAAGGGCTGATCCAAACAACCTAGACCCATAACCTTTTTCTTTTTCTTCTCAGAAATGGTTATTCTCTTGCCATTTCTACCCCTTATTTCTTTGTCTATGAATTCTGCTTCTGTTACTTCTGAATCATTCTATTTATAAAACAAAATATTTAAGGTATTTCTTCATAAGGTATTCTTAACCAGTCATAATATTCTATACCTTACAAAGTAAACCTGTTTTAATACAAAAAAAATACAATTAGTGATACAAAATATTTTTACTTAAAAAATATCCTTTTTTCTTCTGCATTTGTTCCTTTTAATTATAAATCACATTTAGTTATTTATGAATATAGCAAAAAATATAAACACATTAGAATGGTTACATACAGAGAATATAAAAAAAACCTCCAGCTCCTTATTCTTCAATGCTAATTTATTTCCCAAGTTTAAAAAACACTTTTTAAAAATTAGCACTTTAATTGGGTAATGAGTACTTTTATGTGGTATCAACATCAAAATTCATGAAAAGAAGACATCTCCCTCCCATTTCCCATCACCCCACAGCAGGTAATCATTGTTACTAGTTCTGTTTGTCCTTCAAGAAAATTGTATGTGCATATAAGCCAATACAGATATTTTTCTTTCATGTGGACACAAATGATCAGCTGTTTCATTCACTATTATTTTGACACTTGACTTCTTTCTATTAATCAGTATATTTTAGAGCCCTTTAACACTGTGTAAAGATATTCCTCATTTTTTATCTAGTTAATATTATTTCAAATGAATATACTGGTGTACCATTGCATATTTTCCTTGTCCCCATTTCATAAAGTTTGTGCTTTGAAACAATGCTGTAATGAAAAACCTTTTATATAATTCCCAGGTGTGCAAGTATATTGGAAGCATATATTTCTATAGAGGAAATCTGTACGTGGAAAGATACACACATTTGTGATTTTGAAAATGCCAAATCTTCCGTTGTAGCAATGAAATTTATACTTCCAGTAGCAATCTTGCAGACTGCTTGCTGACCCATCCCCACAGAGCAAAGTGTATTGTCACACTTTCGTATTATTTTCTAATGTGACAGGTGAAAAATGGTATCTTATTTTAGCTTTAATATACGTTTCTCTTAGATACTTAACATTCTAGTTAATTCAAGCCTCTTTTGTGTGTCCGAGCTCTTTCTATCTCCCTTTCTTTGAATTCCTTGTTCACATCCTTTGCCCATTTTTCTATCAGGTTATTTACCTTTTTCTGATCAATTTGTATTGGTTCTTTATAAACTGGGGAAAGTAGCTTAGATGACTTGCAACATTTCCTCCGGATTATCATTTTTCTTTTGCTCATACTATTTTTCCTTCAATGTACAAGTTTAGTTTCACGCTGTCAATTAACTTTTATATGACTTCTAGGTTTTATGTCACTTTAGGAAGGTTTGAGATTAAAAAACAGTTGTTTTCTTCTAGTACTTTTGTAGTTTCAATTTTCTTAATTTGCATATGGATGCATATACATTATATATTGATAGAGTTATTCTAGCATTCTTGGGTTCAACTTAGGCTTTCCTTTGGGAAAAAAAATGTCCCAATTTTAAAAATTGTTCCAATTTTCTTCTTCTTGCATGAAATGCTATCTTTATCACAGTCTAAAATCCCATGTGAATTAAGGACTACTTCAGAAGTTTCTGCTCTGTTGCTTTGGACTGTCTCATCATGCTCCTACATTACTGGAATAAAGAGTTTAGAGTAGGAGTTTTTCCTTGCAAATAATTTAATCTCATTTTTCTAGTTGAAAAACATTTTCTTGGTTCTTCTTTAATTTTCCAAAAAAAATTTAGACTCACTCATACTAGTTATTAAAAAAAAAAACTATTGGGATAGGAATCTAACTTATAAATTTATTTAGGACTGATGTCTTTATATACTTTTTCTTCCTAATCAAGATAGGTTTTCCCATTTGTTTAGGGATTATTTCATAGTTCTCAAAAGTGTTTTCAGGCATATTCATATGTCTTACACATTTATTGTATTATTAAATAGATTAATATAATTATTTTTGTATTATTTTTGTTCTATTATAGATAGGGTTTTTTACTTCTATATCTTCTAAATGGTTGTTGTATCATGAAGGCTGCTGGTTTTTATATACTATCCTTTTGTACTATTATCTCGGTTTTTAGTTAAGTCTCTTGGGTATATACTAGGAATAGTGACAGTTTTGCTTCCACCTGTGCAATTTTTGACTTCTCATTTTTTGGCTTGTCTAATTGTGTTGGCTAATATCACTAGTTAAATATGAATGATAAGAGTGGTCATCCTTCTATTGCTTTTGATCTAAGTAGGAATGTCATTAATTTTCTCCATTAAGTAAGTGTTAGCTTTTGGGCTGACTCTATTTTTAATCCAGTGACTGAATTTTAGGATTTGGAGAAAAGTATATTTGAAACATAAACCTTGAACCAGGATTCTTTACTCCCATGGCAGACTTCTCAGTGGGTCCTCTGTTGAAGTCAAAGGACAAACTCAGGTAATTTTTAACACAAGTCATCAAAAAATTAGAAAGGCCCTTTAATATTTTGCACACATTATTTTATTTGGCACAATCACTGCCATTTAAAAATTCATGTCCCCTGCCCCCATTCTTATTTATGAATGCTTCTAGAAACCCCTGAAAATTTCTACTTCAGTTTCTCTGTTTTAGACAAACACTTCACTGACATAGCATTAAAACACCCATCTGGAGTCAGGGTGGGGAGAAAGCTCATTGCCTCTCCTAGGACTGCTACAAACTGACATGCGTGTCATTCTGTGGACACACAGGAATGTTGGGAGCTACTCCTGAGGTAGAGTTTCAACAATAAGGCTCAAAATGAAAAGTAATCATGAAAAAATTAAGTGCTGAGATTATTAAATAATAGTTTGTAAATAATTCTATGTTATCAGGCTTAAAGAGGAGTCCTTAGAAATGAGACCAAACCTTGTAGTTCTCTCAGAATACTGCAAGTTATATAGAAATACACTTAATGGAAGAAGAAGGAAAACGGCTTCTGTGATAAAAAAATGTTCCATGTGTTGCCTATTTTGGTAACATCAAGTAAATATTTACACCATGCAAAAGGATCAGTTGCATTAGTATTTCTGCTCACTAATGGGGACCCTCAATTCCAGGAAGGCTGAAATTTTCTCATTGTTTCCGTGCCATTTGCATGCCCTTCCAAGAAATCAAAACCAGAATCTTCCAGTTCTTGCTATTCACGGAGTCCCCAACATGGGTTATTTGAGGTGATGGGCTCTGTTGGCTGTACTCAGTTCAACTGAGCACACAGATACCTGGTCTAAAGCTGAGATTCTGTTGTGGCTTTGAAAGGTTCATTGGGATCCAGATTTGTGAAGTGCGTCAATTTATGGTACTCAGTGACTTGTGACAAGCAGAGTGTCCTTGCTCAGAGGATAGTGGTTGACACAAGGTTAGAGCCTTGTTCCCATAGTGACTTTCCTTGGTCCCTCTGAGTGTTCTGAGTGTGGGCCATCTGGATTCTGACTTCCGGCAGAGCTCTGCACTTTATTTTGGCATATGGCTGAGCAGATAATGTATATGCTTCGCATTAGGAAAATGCCAGCAATGAATGCAAAATAACTTCCATAAACTAAAAACTGGAGAAAAACAAATAGAATTAATTAAACAACACATAAAATACAACCATCTGTGCCATTGATAATACATAGTGACTTTGTTGATTTGCTTGGATTATAGGGTAATTGAGACTTAGGATCTTAATACAGGTTATTTAGATTTGTGCAATACCTTCGTCTTCCATCTTAGAAGAATCAAATATCAAAGTGTGAGAAACGCAGTAACTTAAGAATGCTCGGGACCCAGGGTTACGTGGCTTCAAATCTTTCCTAACATCACCAGTAGTGAGAAAACACTAAATCCCACCGATCTCTGTGTCTATCTTTGGAAGACACTGCGATGCTATATGAATCTTAGACACTGAGGTTACTTCTTACCTGCCTTATCCCTCTTCTTCAGATCTATATGTAAAAGGTGAAATTGGGCTAATTTTCAGTCCTCAGCGTAGTGCGGGAAGAGGAACTGAGTTCTGCGGCCATGTACCTCTTCCTAGCTGAATCTCAGCAAACCTCGTAACCGGATGTTAGGAGGAAGAAGAAACATGTGGGAGACACAGTGGCAAGAGTGTTATCTGGTGAGGAGCCAGTGGTTCCCGTAGTGCTAACCGATTGTGAGGATCGCTCAAGACCTACTTGGTGTGTTACAGTGTGCTAATTAAGGAAATGCTTATTTTAAAACTTGCCTCGCCAAGAAATTCAAGAAATTAAATACTGAAAGTCGTTCAGGTTGAAAAAACTTTTGCAATGACCTAGTTATTCTACATTCCCCCAGCAACATGAGCAGGAGAGCAAAAATACTGCAGGTTACCTGAATGCTGACTGGCAGGTTGAGTCCTCTCGGATCCACTACAATCACAGTGATGATGGTCTGGATCACCAGGGCAATGAAGGTGTTGATCCCAAACACCAGGGCATAGCGCTCCACACCCAGATTAACTGCGATCTGAAATCTAGCATGAAACATTGAATATGTTTTTTGACAGGAACATACAAAGATCTTATCTTTAAAAGACAGGAACTGAAGAGAAAGCAGTGTCTTGTTAACAGCAATTTTTACCCAAATCTCCTCCAGTATAGACCAACAGGCAAGGAAAGGGAGTTAAAAATACAGTTAAGGGCTGAGTGAAAATACAGTTAAAGGAAATATGGCAAAATTCCTCCTATCCAATTTAATTCTTCCAGAACTTACCCCTAAATGTTCTCAGTTATCATGACTTGAGAAGACTGCATGAGATCTGATTTTAGATACTGATTCACAGTGAATTTTTATGAAAATGCAAGCAACACCCAATCTAAGGACTTTTTTTGGAGAGTTATGCTTCTTTAATTGTTAATTATATTAACAGTTTCAAAGTTTTGTAGGTGACTTATTCTTTGGAAGATCCAGACCATGACTGGTTGCACAATTGAGTCTGTAATTCATTTTTTAAAATAATGATATAACTTATTTATTACAATTAATAATTATATAGATTCTGAAATCTTCTTATAAAATACTTCTGAAAGACTGGCAAATGTATGTTAGACTTCTTCCTTGGAAGGCAGGTGCAAGGCTGTGGGTTCTGACTATTCTTAAAATGAAAAGAAATAATGTAATCCTACCGTAACATTACAAAAAAGAAAACTCAAGACATATAAGTTTGAGTCATTAAACTGACACATGTCAGTGAAAATAAAAAACAACTTGCTTATAAAAAATAAACAAGTTTAATCTCTTTCCTTTGTATCATGACCTTTCCCAGGGTGCTTATATTTCTGTGTTTTGTCAATTACTTATCAAGCATTTTTCACAAATTAAAAACCAAAATTTAATAAAGCTTTTGGCTCGACTTCTTTCATGTGATTTGAAATTCAAATGTTTCTAATCTCTTTTGATTGATACCAAAGCCCAATTCCCATTGTCGGCTTTCTCTGCACTTTTATATGGGACCAAATGCTTTTAAGTAAAAAAAGTAATTTCTGCAATTTGCAGTTTCTTGTAATCTTTGCATCTGTTTTTTTCAGTATGCAACTTTTTATAACTTGTTGAGAATACTTTGTTTCACACAAAAGTATATGCCTGGAAAGTGAAATTAGGGATGATGAAATCTAAACTTAATCATTCAAAACCAGGTTGCCCCCTACCTTGTTATGGCAAATTGCTTGAAATAAAAATCACAACCTGATAGTGTATCATTGCTTTTGGTTTATGAACCTACAGACTTTTTTCCTTGGTAACTAATCTTAGCAATATTTGGAGGACAAATAGTTAAATGAACAGATGGCACTAATTGTGTCTAATTTAATATGAAGTAGTCAACACCTAATATTGCAATTGATTAAAAGCCCCTCTGAAGTTCTTAAAAGAACTATAGGAACACAGAAAAGAGACAATGGCTTAGTTTCAGGAGTGGAAAGAAATGGTTGGTAATACTTACACTGCTATGGTTATAAGAAGCATATAGCTGGACTTGAATATCAAGTAGCCAGCATAGCATGCCCAGATGTTGGCTGCATAATGCATGAGAAATAGAGAGCCTGCGTTGACAACTGAGAAGATCCCCAGGGCCAGCTCTCCCAGTAGATCCCAGTTGACTTTCACATAGCCCACTGCAAAGGCAGCCACGGCCCCTGAGAAAGAAGCAGTAAAGAAGATCAGACACAGTGACTGCTCCTGGGAAATACCAACATGCTCTCTTAAATAAAACTCAGGTATTAGGTAATCCTAAAAGGCGAATATATTGCTATCCCAAAAATAGCAGATCCACCTAACTGTGGATTTATCCTTTTCTTAACCATGTTTTCGTTTGGCTGATCTCTTTACTTCCTGTTCTTTCATTTAGTCCTCACACTTTTTAATTAGCACCAACTACATGCCAAGCACTGTGCTGTGCAGAGGGGCCAGGAAGGTTCCTAACCACAGCAGAGTAGGGAAAAATGATACATAGCTCAGTCACTTAATATGACATGTTAAGAGCAGAGAGAGAAAAAGATGAAACAAATGCTTTGGTAGCACACCTGGCCTGTGCATCTCTGCTGCCTGTATCATTTTTTTATCATGAAGTTCTTTTCAGTGATGGGTAACAGATCTGTTGTGTTGGGTGGTACATTTTAGTCTTATTATTAATCTTTATTAATATTAATCTTATTTCTAGGGTCCATCTTGATGTTTTCAAGATCTGGCCTAATTTACTTGGGGTTTTGGATGAATAGACTTATACTGACTTGCAGAGTTTAGGAGATTGAATAACTGACTGTATTTAGAGTTAGTAATCATAGTTCTCTTCAACAAAATGAAAGGTATTTATGTTTCAGTTCACTGACATTTGATTAACTTTTCCTCATGTCACCTAGGAAAGAACCATTACTACAAAGGAAATAAAATTATACCCCCCACTAGAATTCGGAGTGTAGAGAAATAATTTCAGTTAATCGAGTCTAGCACAGTCCTGGGTTGCAGTAGTTAAACTGAAGCCTCCCAAAAGGAAGACAATAATAAACAGGGCACGACATGGGTTTTCAGAAATTTTTTGTACATGAGGGTGTAGAAATCTCCTGCTTTCTAAAAACTATCTTCTAAGTCTCATTTGCATTTAAGTCTCCATTTACCAGGACATAAATATTTATTGTAGAATAAACTTCAGTGGCACATTTCCTTCTGATACTAAAATACTGACTCTAAGATACCTTCTACTTCTCATTTAAATCTCTTAAGAAAGTTACTTTAGAAGATTTTTGGTGTGTAGCCTAGGATTGTTAAAGGCAGGCACTAAAGCAAATCCTTTATAAACAAGGTCTTCCAGTGACAATTCGGAAGGCTTAACAGCTCAATTTACTTTCTAAAATAATAAAACTCTTTATATATAAGATGCCTATTTTCCATTTGATATTGAAAACAATCACGGAAGACCAGGGGATATTATTAACATTCTTCGTCCTGATGAACTGGAATCCTAGGAATCTGGCAAGAGTATAATTGTTGGGCGGTTACTCCTGAGCTTAAGTTACTCATTATAGCTATGCCACATGAAATAGAAGTGTCATGGTCCTCTTTTTCTACTCCCATGCCTTCCCTTCCAAAAAAAAAGATTGGCATGCCTTCTTAACAGAGCTAATTTACCAGCATACATAAGTTTCTCAATGGGAGACATGAACTGAGTGGGAGTGAGACCATCAAAGGAAGATAAATCAATGTTTATTTACCTTCAAAGGTTCCAATAGCTTCTACTGCCCCGTTATAGATGGAAGAATTTTGGGATGATGGTGCCTTGTAATCCCACAGGATTTGAACATAGTTCAAAACCTGGTTAAAACCTGCTGTGGAAAAAGCCCACCACAGGGACCAGTAAAAAAGATGCTTTGAGGAGTAGCATGCCTTCAAATCTTGGAACCATTGCACAAAAGCTCTCAAAGCTATGTTTCTTGGCTTCGGGCTGCTCAGCTGGTCATCATCCAAGTTGCCTGAAATGGTGAATAGTCCCTGGCAGACTGGTCCCTGATCCTTGGGAGGTCCCTCTAAGAAAGCATCCTTTCCTGGTGGATTTGGAGGAGCTTCTTTGCTGGGATTTGCATGAAAAAACATGCTTTTCTTAGGCATCGGTAGAGAAAGTGAGACAAGAAAGGCCACGGACACAGAGGCCAAGGTTATGACATTGAGGTAAAAGTACGACAGGTTGGCCAGGGAGACCAAGAGTTGGGCCAGCACCGAGGCCGCCGTGTAGGCCACCAGCGTGACACTCCTGCAGCAGCCACTCACTCGCTGGTAGTACTCGGGGCTGACCACGCTGTAGATGTAGGCATAGTAGGCCACCTCGGTGGCGGAGACCATTCCGTAGAAGAACTCCACAGCCTGCATGGCCCTCACTCCTTGGCCAAACAGCAGCAGCAGCCAGGTGATGATGAAGCTAATCCCTTGTAGGACAATGACTGGCTTGTAGCGGATGTAATCGGTGAGGATAAACACGGGGAGGAGCAGGACCAGGTAAGAGTACGTCCAAATGGGAAAGATCTCATTTGTGATCTATGAAATTGAAAAAATGGATAGTGTGACCATGAGGCGCCAGGAAGTGAAGAGAGTTACCTTTCGTAGGTATGTACCTTTGGTAGGTAAGGCACATCTGGCCTGCCCAGTATCAAATTCTGCATCCCATCAGATAGGAGATTCTTCATATTATGGAAGAGTACAATAGAGAACTGATTTTCAAGGAAACAGCGAGGAAAACAGTTCCCCCTGCCCCCAAAAATTCCAATGTATATGCTTATGTGCATCCTAGTAGAAGAATATATTGTCTTAATGTGCAATCTGAACTATATTAAATTTAAACAGCATGTACATTTGAGTAAACTACTTGAAAATTGTTCAACAGACATTTCTGGTTTTTCAGGCTCTTAAAAAATACCATTACCTCCTTGTTCATGGATTAACATTAGATAAAGTGACCATAATATTAGAAGAATCCAGCAACCTTTATCTTTATTTGATCCATCACTATGTAAAACATCGTCAAAGTGTGGATGAACACATGTGAAGATAGCTAGAGTAAACAAGCTTACAGAATTACAAAGTGGGAACAAGTAAAGCATTGAATTTCCTTCCTGGGCACATTTGCTGGGCCTCCAAACCATTTTCCCTCCAGTTCTGATTAATCTCTGCTTACCCCATTCTGGCTTCAAATGAATATGGGTCATTTCATGCACTGAGTCAGACACGCATGCAACCTCAATGTCCACTCATAGAGAGAAAAGCCTGACAAAGCTGTTGATTTGGGGTCATGAATGAGGCAGGTGCAGCTCGGTGACACTAGCATTTGTTCTGTGCCCCTCTACAGCGACCTTGGTGGGGGGTCCAAACATCAATGACGAGGGGGACGTTCAGTGATCTGAAAGCCTGGTCTCACTGAGCGGCCCCTCAGAGGATGGGTTCCCTGACTGGTCCATGGTGGTCACAGGAGCAAGCCCCCAGGGGGGGTCACAGGCTGATTTTGGACCCATGTCTGTCCTTTGTTTTCTCCGAATTGTGACATGCTTCCATCTGGAAAACTCTGAAACAGAGTTGTTGCTAAGCAATTCAACCACAGGGCAGCAAGCTTGCCTTCATTCTTACCACCTCATCACCAAATTAACGAGCAGCAATGAGCCCTCCAAAGGAAGCCACGCACTCTGCAGTGTTTTCATAGCTACGGATGGAGGTTACAAAACCAGTTCAGGATAACTCTCCTGCTGGACCAGTGCCTTTTCTTATTCTACTTGTGAAAAAAGACATGGATTTCTAAGGAAGATAATTTGACCTTTCAGGGAAGATAAATTGGGAGATAAAGCTGCTAATGTCTCACCTGCTAGTTAACGGCTTTTCAAAACTGAGTAAGATGTCCTAAAGAAATGGCACAATCTTTATTAGGTCTTGGTTATATCTCAGCAGCCTGAAAGTTTATTAGGAGACTAGATCCTGTGCCTGGCAGGGATTTTATTTTGGGATTAGTGTAACAGAATCAGTGGAGACCAGAAATGTTCCTATGCATTAAGACTAACGTTAGAACTCCATAAAAGTTAAAATATTTGTTACACATGGAGAGTGTTTTGAAAGTGTGAGGAAGGAAGAGTTTGAAAATGGGATTCATTGAGGTCCATGTGATAATCTTATCTCAAGTTGAATAAAATACTAATTCTATGTCCTTGTTCAAATCCTATAAAATTAAACCATATTAAGATAAGCATGTAGATTGATTTACCTCTGCACTGGTCAGGTTTTTGTCTGGTCCAGATAAATACGGGATAAGGAAGGGTTCTGAGGGTTTTAACATGGAGAAGAATCCGAACAGGCAGAGGGTCACAGTGGGATAAATCCAGGAATGGCTCGGTGAGATTCGGAAAACATCCACGGCTGATCAAATGGAAACAAAGTCAAAATTAACAAAGATGGTTATTCTTTTTTGGCATGTTGGATGTAATGAAAACTGATTTCTAAATGCCTTATGAAAGGTTCATATATATATATATGCAGTTGACATGAGAAGGTGAGTAAGGAGCTGCTCTTAGGTGACCCTCCTTGGGTGAGCTGGTCAAACTCTCCTTTTTCAATGCATTTCTTATGCACTGCAGCTCAGGGTAGTCACATTTCTTGAGCATTCTTCACCGCAAACACTCAGTAATGGGTAGCTAATAAAAGATGAACCAAAGGCCACTATCTAAAAGTAAGTAAGGACATCAGCTAGTGAATTGCTGGTGCATGTGTGGAAGGTAAAAATGTTTGTCCTTCTGAGAGGACAAACCCAAGAGAACAAAAAGTTGATCAAGCCCTCTGTTATCTGCACACTCTATTTTGCACTGTGACTCTGAAATCTTTAATACATTGGATGGCATGAATTTAATTACACATGTATCTCTCCATGAGACTATCTCTTAGTGCCTAACACAGACATCCAACATACTTTTGTTAGGTGTCACCGATCTGAGAATTTATCATTCTGTAATTTAAAAAATTAAACTAGATAAAGATTTGACTTGACCACTTTCCTGTACTGTGTCCCTTTTCCACAGTGGTGCTAACTCTATGTTGGGAATGAGAGGCATTGCCTCTTAGGGTGTTGTTCCATTTTTCTTTATGACGGGTCCAATTTCCTCTCCAAGTCTTCAGTTACACACCACTCAGTGGGGGCAGGTAGCTAATTCACACTTCCTACTCTGTTCTTAACCCAGAAATAAATGTGCTTGAAATTCAAACTCCAGACAAAAAGTCCAGTGGAGGATCCTTTGTCACTGCACAGGAGAAAACATAAAACAGAACAAAACAAAAAACCCTTAAGTTAAGGTGGCTATATTGGAAAGCACGTGGATCATCACGTACACAGGGAACCGGCATTCCTTCACATTTTGGATCAAGCTTTACTTTGTAAAGCGTACATATCTTTGGTGCATTATCTCATTAAATCTTCAGAATAACAGTATAATATATACTATTATTTCCAATTCCCAAGTACGGATATGGGAGATCCACAATGTCCAACAACTGGCTTCAAACCACATCGCCGAGATCTGAAGCCAGGAGCCCCTGGCACCCCTCAGGGTGCTTCCACCTGCTCCACCCTGCCCCTCCCCAGCGCTCCTTCTTCCTCCCCTGGTCCTCATACCCTAATCTGTCCTCTCAGGGAAGGAAGAAGGAGCTGCTGTGAACACATTCATACTACAGATTATGGCTTCCTACGCAGAGCTTCCAGGGGCAATTATAATTTGAAAGTGGCCTGCGGAGAGGGAAGACGATGCTCACTCCAGAAGAGAGAGTCACCTGGGTGGGCCGCCCCGTATCCAGGAACTTTGCTAGGGGCTAGGCAGGTGGGGAGGGCCTGTGGGCCACGGTGGCCAATGGTCTCATGATTCTTGGAAGTGCTGATCACTATCTTTTTTTATTTTTACCTTATCAACTCGGGGGAGATCCTGCTCTTTTCTGGCATCATGACTATGATGATCAAATTACTTCTGCAAGCTCTGTAATTTCTACATTTTGAAAATTACTCTTTCTTTGATAATTTTGTGAGACAGAAGTGGTATCGTCCGTAGGTGGGGAAATGGGGGCCAGAGGCAATAAGATTTGTGCCAGTTTTCACATTTAATCAACATTAGAACCTGGATTTAGTTTAGACTGTTTTTCTAATTCTGAGGTCAAGTAATCTTTCCTCTTACACTGTGTTGAGAATGCCTGCTCATATCCTCAGAAATTCCAATTGCAGTTTATTTTCAAGTAGCACTTTTCAGATTGGGAGTGTCAAAACATTTAGTGGGTTGCAAGCAGCATTGTTTTTAAATGTTGCAGAAAAGATAATAAATATAAAAATGTACCACAGAGCAAGGCTGTTTTTCTTTTCCTGAAACTTTGTTTGGGTTATCAATATATAGATACATAAAAAAGTGATCACACCGTACATCATACTTTTCTGTGGGACAGAGTCCCTAGGTTAGAAGTCACAGAGGCAAGTATGGGACTGAATATCTACTCACACCCCTCACAAGCACACTTGATGATGTCACCATGGAGTACCCGCTGTGTCTGGGGGACCACAGACTTCACAGCAAAACACTACCCTGAAAAAGACTGCTCTTTTGCTATTCTCCTATTTATCATTAATTTTGACGCCCTAATTGTATCCTCCTCCTAAAGAACACCCTATACATCCCTTTGCTTCACTGACTCTAATTTGAGGACATGAATTGCGGTGATTGTCTAAGTGGACACGTCTGACAGCAAGCTGTTTCTCCTCTCCCTGTCCGTGCTTTCCAAATAAGATACTCCCTTTAAAAGTTGCTCCTGTGATAGTAATTCACACATCTTACTCATGTGCTCCATCACCATTTAAAAAAAGGTACAAGTAATGCTATGTAGGCAGTCTGTTTAAAGGATGGAAAAGAAAAGGACATTCTTGAGACAAAACGTCAGCCTGTCAGGCTATCATGACTTGAAATCTACAGGATCCAGAAGGAACAAGAGAGACCGAATGAATGAGCGACTCCTGCTGGCAGAGACGCGGAGCAGCTCAGTCCATCACAGAGCCTCCCTTGGTGGGCTGGGACGGGTAGGAGGGTTCTTCAGAGGGAGAACCGGGGCTAGCGAGCAAAAGTAGATAAAGAAGTGGGTGCTGAGTGTGGGCCTGTTTCCCTCCACAGCTACGGCAGCCCCGGCTGCCACCACCTCTACCTGCCCAGTAAGCCAGAAGGTGCTTGCTTCTGACTTACTTGCATTATCTGTGCACATGGGCGGTACATTATGGGGGTCCTGGGCATAAAGGGCCAGGTGCCATGTTGGGGCTCCCAGCCAGCCAGTGTGACCTGGAATGAACCCCAAAGACAGTCAATGCCTTTGCATCGGAAGTGACCCACCTAAATTACTTTGAAAATGATAATACTCCTATCTCTTTTTGCTGGGAGGGGAATAATGATTATTTTTCATTCAAAGCCACAGCTGTCCCACCGAGGACCCGGCAATAGTCTATGGTTAAGTCTCCAGCTTCTTTCCATCCTTCATTTGGGTCCATTTCTGGAAGGCCATATATTTTTGCTGCTGCTTCCCTTTCTCCAGGCTATGTGGAGGTGCTGTAGCCTTTTTCTAAATGACAATCCCCTTACTAGCAGAGTTAATCCCATTTTGTTTTACTTTATTTCCTAAAACATCTACGATTTACTTGTTTTTTGTCTATGACCAAATTGGGGCTGGGGTAGCTTCTCACTGTTTCTGTTCTCATCTGGAAACATTTGTTGGATTTTCTTTTTATAGAAAAGTTTTGAAAAAAGTGGAAAATCTTCCTTTTACTTGGAAAAAAGTCTTTTTATGCAACCTCTTATATGTTTCTAGTCTCTTGGTCTCAGAGTTCAATTTTTCCTCTAGTAAAGAATAATAATACATAATTTATAAATGTAACTATTAAAAAATATCATAATAAATAATAATTTGTTCCAATTATTGCCTTATTATTGACTTCTTCCCCTCTGATTGTTCTTTAACCATACCCTTAAATCTTTCTAACTGGCCCCATCTTATTCTGTTTGAATGTGCATCATTTTAATAATAGTCATAAGTGTTTCTTTGCTTTATAATACTGTCTCTGATATCTCCACTTCTCTTATATTGACTGTAAAAGTAGATCATTTGTTATTATAACTATGGATGGGGACAAGGAAACTTTCAGTTAGTCTTATCTTGTACATTCACTGTCTGAACTAAATCTTCTCCATATCTGTGCACATAAAAATGTCCAGGTATTCTTCATCTATGCCAGGGGGAACTATATGGGGCCTAAGCCAGTGTGGACCTTATCTAAATTTCAGGCACCGACAGTGTCCTGTTTCTTAATCAATAGGCTGTGCATTTGCATAAGTGTATATATATAAAAATTCTATGGCCATAAATATTTTTATTTGCATAGGACAGGCAACTATTAAAAAGGAAGAGCGGTAATAATTATTACATACCAGTGGGCTTTCTGGCTTCTTGAGGTCTGGGTGGAATTCCCAGCCAAGAAGGACCTTAGCTGATTAGATTCCTCCTCTCACTCCCAGAAGATGGAATTCCCCCATAGCCAAAGCTTTCAAAGCTGTGGGCTCCCTGAAGCAGAGGGCAAGATGCTTCGATCAAACAAAGACCTTCTCCAAACCTGTGTTTGCAACAGTTCCCCACAACAGAGAGCCTGGGGTACACAGAACTAGGTTAGCGGGAAGGGATCGTTTTATCAAATCCTCTCCCATAATCGTTTGAAGATACTGCCAGAATTAACTGAGATGACAATAATTTAGAAGAAAAGTATCTAGAATCTCCAGTGTCCCTGATATGGAGCCCAAATACCTATCTCAAAGAACAGAGCAGGAGACTGATAATTTTAGATAATCATGCATCTCACAACCTCTAAATTCCAAAGGACTTGGACAGCTGGTTGAGAGAGCTGACATTTGCAATTGGCTTCACTCCTGAAGGCCCAAAGCCTTTTGAAAAATAATTAGGGCCAGTACTTGTTACATTTTCCAAAAGGTCCACCTTTTAGATATTCAACACCGCTAGTGCCAGACAGAAGCAAACCAAAAGTTCGATTATTCAAAACCTAAATATTTGCTCTTTGCTGAAAACAGAATATAAAACTACTTGTATCTCTTCATCTACTTTCTACAAAAATAAAGGGACTATAACTTGAAGTAAAACATCCAAATCAAATGAAGGGATACTGTCTGCTTGAGTCAAGGCAATGTGACACTGGAGGAAGGCACAGGGAAGTAACTCCAGGGAATCGCTTAATTACTATTCATTCCTCTGTTGCGAAATCAGGATGGGAGGGTGGTTTCACCAATTCCTAACAGGCTTTCATATTTTAGCTGTGACTTCATCTTATTTCAAATGAATTTTACTGACCTCTACCTCCCTCTACACATGAAAACAAATTTGACATAATAATAAACTCTAGTGCCATAGAGTACTGTCTAAAATAAAACAGATTTTTGTGACCTAGGGATTAGCAAATATGTCATTGACATGATAGAAAGGACTAAATTTAAAGGCAAAAAAAATGATAACTGGATTTCATCAAAAAACTGTATCTGCTCATCAAGAAAAACCATTAAGAAATCAGAAAGGAAAATGAGAGAGAACATTTCACAACCACTAGAACGCCTAAGTACAAGAAGACTAACATACTAATGCCGGTGCGGATTCGGAGCAACTAAATTCATACACATTGCATGTGGGAATGTGAAATAGTATCAGTTCTTTGGAAAACCATTTGGCAATCTATAAAGGAATGTTCATGTATTCATAATTGTGGAAAAATGGGAAGCAACCAAAATGTCCATTAAAAGGTGAATGAATAAAAAAGATTGTATATTTAAGCAACTGAATGAATTAGCAATAAAAAGGAATGAACTATTGCAAAAATATGGGTGAGTGTAAAAAGCATTGTGCTGCGTCAAAGAATCCACACATAAAACTGGAAGATTCCATTAATATCTATAGAGTCCTAAAACAAGCAAAACTAATCTACAGTGACAGAAACTGAATCAACTATTGCCTGGGGTGGGAGATAAGGAAAGGAATGAATGCAATAGAGCACAATGGAACATTCTGGACTATGAAAATGCTCTATAACTTGATTGTGGTGGGGTTACAAATTGACACACACCTGTGAAAATTCATTTACTATACACTTACAATGTATATTTTATTATTTGTAAACTGGATCTCAATAAAGATGACTGGAAAAAAGGAATAAATCACTGATGCACAGCACACAACAAATGAATCTCAAACACTATGTTGTGTAAAAAGAAGTCAGACATATAAAAATGACATACTGTATGATTCCGATCAGAAATCAGAACAGTGGTTATATCTGAGATACATATATGGGGGCAGGTGGGAACTCACTGGTAAGGGGAATGAGAGAACTTTCTGGGATGATAAAGCATCCTAGAGCTGGTTGGGACATAGTTACATGGGTATATGCAATGATAAAGACTCAAACTAAAGATTCATATTTTATATTGTATGTAAATTATATCAATTAAAAACAATACATGCTTAACTGCTCCCCTTACACATTTTACTGGGTAGGCTTCCTGAAGCCCTGGACTTTTCCTATTGGTGTCTAGACTATGGTTTTTCCAAATTCAACACTAGGCAAGGTCTCTATTTAATCTGGAAACAGAACAGCATCTTTGAAATTGAGTCTATCCTAAAAAATTCAGAGTGGCAACAGTGCCCATAAATTAAAGCTAGGACAGACCTACAAACTTTTGAAGTCTGGTCACATATAACAGTGTTTAAAAGAATACAAAGAGAATAAGAGTTACCTGTTCCTTCCATGATGAGTTTCTTTCTAGAAGCAAGTCCCACCTTCAGATCCAACTCCTTTTCCTTCCCGCTGCAAGCTGCTGTCACTGGAGGGAGTCCTTGCTCTCACTGGAGTCTGAGAAGTCCTGCTTTGGAATTGACAGTCCAGAGTAATGGCTTTATACACCAAAGCCCACCTACTTCTGAGGGCTTTATACTGGAATACACCGCCTTCCACAGCCTTTTTTGGAATCTCACTTAAAAAAAAATATAGAACCAGATTCAGATCTTTTTACAACAGAATCGCGGAGGTAAACATTTCAAAAATACTTTCCCCTGAATGCTAGTACTAGTCTAATTTAGTTTCTCTAGAATTTGGTATTAAGAGACTTAGAATCTCAGAAACAGTCCTACCACCTATTTCCCACTCATAATTCTTTATGTACCTTATCCCTTCCCAAAAAAATAAACTTTGATGAAATGAAGCACTCCACAGAACTTCAGAGGGTGTGAATTAGGTCCGCACATTCAATATCCAGGCTGGCATAGTTTCACTTTTGGTCAAAATCATTTCAAGAGTGATCTTTAAAAATCACGCTTTGTATTCCATTATGTCAGATCATTCCTTTGTGTATGCATGGAACATTTGCTAATGAATTAGTCCTCCCCTCCCAAATTGTTTATTCTCTGTGTTGCTGGGGCAGCTGAAGAAATAAAGTGGGGGACAGCTTACACAGAAAGCCAACTAACCACATCTACCCACGGCAATGCAGTGTGGGTAATTGGTCAAGTGGACAGGTGTGGGTGCAGGTAGGGAAAAGTCTGTGCTTCCCTATATGTTGTTTGAGCTATTTTATAATTCTGTAAACTGTTGTACTGATAGCAATGTGATATTTCACATTCTTGTCTATAGACACGCGAATGTTTCTCTCTAATGAAGGGACAGCCCTCTTCCCCTCTCCCCCAAGAAAAAACAGTTTTTCTTCCATTTCAATATTCCTGAACTATAAATATACCCATTCTTTGGATTCTCCTTAGATCTGGTTGTAACTGCCTAACCAGTTTTCTCATTACTGAGTTAATAAAACTCTTTTTGTGTCTGTATGAAAGTCAAGACTTTATTCTTTGCAGAAAACTATATTTTAATACTTTTTACCATTCACTGTGCCCCTAGCCTATCCAAATAACCTCCAGTTTATTCCTCTGAATCGAAATGATTTGCTGATAGTTGTTAAATTACCAAATCGCCTTCAATATTTTGACAGCTCACTGCTGAACTTCCCAGCCTTAAGCTTATTTGTTTTTCCCTTCCTCAGATCTGGGTTCCTGGCGGCCGGTGTGGTCCAGCGGAAAGGCAGACGACTTTGTAGTTTGAGGCTCATGTGGCCCCACCCCTGTCTGGCATGTCCTTAACCTCTCCAAGCCTTCTTTTAAAATGCGTATAATCACACCCACGTCACAAGAAGACTCAGGAACCACTCAGTCTGGTTCTTGGCACAGATCAGGCCCTCAGTAAAGTCTCCTTCCCAGCTCCTCACGGAGGCACAGAGCACAAATTCAACCAGAATGAGCACAGCTGGGCACTCATAGTTCAGAGACAGTAACCTTGTTCAGAAAGGTACGTGGTAGGTAATCTAACCTAAACTGCTAATGGGCAGCAGGCCAAATAAATTCATCTTTGAATATTTATGCTTGAATAACATTTACCCTTACCCAACCTTGAGAAATCATTGTTGAACTACAACCAACAACGACTGAGCCAATGTAGCAGCGTTTCTGTCCATTTCAGCGACTACTAGACAGTTTGAAGAGAAACGTATTTGGAAGTTAGCTATATTTTGGTCTATTTAAAATACATACCTTAATGACAACACACCTTTCACCTTAGAAGCCCCCAGTGTTTTCCAGTATTGGTGAGAGCAAAACACTTCGGTGTCTTTTCTTAAAAAGAGTATTTCATTCACTCTTTTCAAACTTTAAACTCTCCGCAAACTCAAACTTGTCTCACATTTACAGCAGCGGCATTGACTTAACGAATAATTGTGATACATGTTCTTTGATGACTTGGGTATCACTTCCAGAAAAATTCCTATAAGGTACAGTTATGTTTTCCTTTAATTCAAGTAGTCTCAATAGAGTTTCAGGTCTTTTGACTCCCAAGTCCCCTTGTAGGACTTTTTCTGCCATTCTTGGATTGGGATTTGTAATTCTGTGCTAAGGTGTTTTTTTTTCCAGTTGAAATCTGTGAACTCGTCTGTCACCACGGGAGGTGCTGGCCCTCCACCAAATACCAGGTCTTAATTAATCTGTTTTTCCAGATGGCTGAAAGAGGGAATTCAGGCCAAACCTTGGGCGAGTACCGGCCGCGCGACGGCAGGGAGCGCAGCGCGCGGCGGCTCCGGGGAGCGCGGCCCTCCCTCCGCCCGCCGGGGCCGAGGCCCGTGCCGCGCGCCGCCCCAGCGCAGTCCCCGCCGCCGCGGCCCGACCGGGGAGGGCTGGCGCGGGGCGGGGTGTTTCTCCGGGTATCTCACCTCCCGGGGCTGGTCTTACCTATCGGAGAGGGTTTCTGCTCGGCAACTCGCTCGCATTCCTAAAGAACCAGCCCCAGTGACCGTCCCGTCTGGCGAAGCCAGGCGCTGGAGGTAGGGGTTGGGGGCGGAGCCTGCCCCATGCGGAGACCGGAGGCCCCGCCCCCACGTTTTACATATGCTAAGGATAGGCTTCTTGAACCTTTACACTGGGAGGCAGAAATCCCATGTCTGTGGACAAACCCTGCGTCCATACGTCTGCGCGAAAGGAACAGACTGCAGTGATATGCTGACACCCGATATCAATGTAAACAAGCAGCATGAGCTCAGTGCAATGTCGATTGGTTTATAAATACATCCTTTCCTATAAATCCATTTATTTCTCCCCCAAACTCATGAGAAATACAGCTAAGATGTCCATTCTGCATATGAAGAAAGTGAGGCAGAGCACAATAAGGCTCGTAAGTAGAGAAGCCTGGATTTTTGTTGGGCTATCCTAGCTCTAGAGTCAATGTTATAAGCACTGAGTTTTTTGTTTTTTTTAAGATGGTGAATTGGTATGGTTTCCTTGTACTTTGAGAATTTTCTAACAAATAGTTCATATAATAAATATTTTTTATTAAGCAGAGGTTTTTTTAAAAAAGCATTATATAGTTCTCGTTGGTTAAAATGGAATTTTAAAAACAACTTTTTTGGTTATCTGTTGCAGGAAATGGAAAACCTTCCCCAAAGATAACAGTGTTTGGTTTCCAAGGGCTACTAGAAGTAATAACAGTTGATTAAAAGCTCCCCAGATGTTTTGGGTCATCATCCTAGTGGTTTAGATTTTCTATTCTCACTCTCCTAGGATTTGGGGCAAGTCTGCCTGTAAATAACCAAGATGCACCGCAGGAGTGGGAGTGCCTTGTTCACTGTGCAACAAGAGTGAGTGCCCTTCTGAATTGCTGGACCTTTCCAGGGAATACTGTGCTGTTTTCTTAAAGGTTAAAGGCATGGTGATTTCTTCTGTACCCCTCACCAGGAAAAGTCCTCAGTTTGGACTTTGAGAAGTTATTTTCTGTCTTTGATATCTCATAGCCATAATCTAGGTCAGAGAGATGAAGAAGAATTCATTCTTTTGAGGAACCTAAACATGTTTGCTGATGAGATGACCAGAGGTCTGGATGTGGTTTCATGTAAGTTGTGAGAGTATATAGATGACAAGAGATCAGCCATGTTGATAATTGTTGACTTGGGTGGTGGCTCTTAGACATTTATTATGCAATTTATTGTAATGTTCTCCACTTTTGTGTATGTGTGGCAGTTTCCATAATAAAAAGTTTAAAATACAGTTTATTCATAAAGAAGCTATTTATTGAGTACGTGCTATGTGCTGGACACTGTTCTAAGATGCTTGAGGTACATTAGCGAGCAAAAGAGTTAGAAATCTTTGCTCTGTAGAGTGTGCATTACAGTTGTACATGGGGGACGCAGATGGAACACCGTAGGGTAACATGATAAATTCCTGAATCTTATGGTATATTAGAAAACGATAAGTGCTAGGGAAAAGAACAAAAAAAGACAGAGGAAAGAGCAGAAGGGGGCATAGAATGACAGAGGAAAGGGCCAGGGTCTGAGGTTTGGGGCGTTAAAGTTGGGAAAAACATACAGAGGACACAAAGAGGATCAGCAGAAAGGGTGGGGGGTCAGTCAGGAGGGATGAGGGGCTTGGAGGAGGGATGCCAAGTGGGAATCCTGTGGAAAACGTCAACAACTCACCTGGTAAGCTTACCTAGCAAGTGAAGGGAGAGTCTCTTAGACTGGCACTCAACAAAGTGGCTGCAAAAATGTGCACAGAAATATTTGAATCATTGAATTGTTGGTAGTAGGAGTGGGGGAAAGGTGACCAGGCAAAGAAATCTGATATAGGAAGCTTTTTGTAATTGCTGCTTTCTGTTTCCCTCTTAGACTCAATGCTTTGAAGGCAAAGGCTTATTATCTTTAGATGTCTAGTGCTTGGCTGTGTACCTAGTACTGCTTTCATGTATTTGCTGAATGAATGAGCAGAAAGTACATGGAATGCTGGAGTGAAGCTATGACTTGCCACGCTGGGACTGCCCAACACAGCCAGAGCCAGCTGCAGACAAACATCCTGAGAGCATCTGTGGGAGAGGAGAGCAGGGATTTCCCTCAACGGCACTGATGGCCAGTGTTTGGAGATCTCCCCCCAGGTTCCCGTCTTTATTGTAAAACCCACGAGAGGACAGTGTTGAGCCCATCGTCCATGAACTGAAACCTATCCCAGGTATTCAAGTATCACGCTTTGTCTTTGCTCATTGGCCTCAAGCATGGGAGGGTGCACATCTTACAGAACAGAGGGACACATTACAATAAGGAACTTTTTTCAATTGAGAAAGTTACCTTGAAAAAAAAAAACAGAGACATAGAAATGGGAAACAAGTTAGTGAATGTACAACAGAACAAAAATTTCATCGTAAGTCATTTTTTCTGAAAAATTAGCTGTCATGATTTTTTGTTAAGCTTATAAATAGATTTTTGCCATAGATGGCTGTGTTTCCACATCTCAATGTTGACAGTATATGATGGTCTTTTGTCTTTCTTCCAAATGGAGACAATTGCAAAGATGACAGAGAATAGTTACCTCCTTGATGCTAAGTTCTGGAATATATAGGGAGAGGAAATTGCTGTTGTCATGATACTGAACTGAGGGGAAAGAAAAGCCCCGGACCTTCAGAATGCAAAGGACAGAGTGAGCAGTTGCAAGACATCGAGGTATTCAAGGCAGGCTGACAGCAGCCCTTCCGCCCCCAGCAGCCCTGCCCGCAGCTGCAGCTGCAGCCACACGAGCTTCAGCCCCGGGAGCGGCGCGTGCAGCAAACCACGGGGACGCTGCAGCAGCCCGCACAGCAGCCGCCGCAACAGGGGCAGCAGGCGGAACAGCAGCCGCCACCCCGTAGCACCTGCAGGTGGTGCAGCCAGTGCAGCCGCGGCGCTGCAGCCTCCTCAGCTGCAACACCCCATGGCGTCAGGACTCAGGAGAGGTGAGGAACAGATTCAGGAAGTGAGGGAGGTCTGCGCCGTCTACTGCAGGGGTCCCCTATGTACATTCTTGAGGTAATGGTGATGGATTGACCTAGGACACATGACCAATGGCTTCTTCCTGGATATTTTTTATTCCAGTATCCAGAAAAGAATCTAGAGTTCTTTCTCCTTTAAATCCTAGTGGAAATATTTAACATAACAGAAAAGCTAAATTTTAGAAAAACATTTTCATGTTAAGAAATCAGGTCACATAGACATAAAACTCAGAGGGTGGGAGGTACAAGAAAGGGAATCTGAATGGCTTCTGACTCAGTAGAATTTGGGGAGAAGAAAAGAAAAAGAGGCAGAAGGAGTCAATTGGTGTGCATCTTATCTTCTCCTGGGGATGCTCTGTTCAGCTTGGGGGAGTGACGCTGAGTGAGCCCCAGATCCCGTATCAGGGGTAGAGATACAGAACATCTCCTTGCACTGTGGAAGTAGAGAGGGATGCTGATGGCGCTGGGCAGTGACATTGCCAGGGGTCACTGGCAGGAGTAAGATGTTCCAGGAACGAAGGACTCAGAGCAGACAGCCACTATTAGGATGAAGGGAGATACAGCCCATCTTCCAGGCCATCGACAGCAACAGAGAGAGTCAAGCTGGAGCTGTGTCGTCAAGAAAGGACCACCTGGTCTTGACTGGGGCCAGAAGACAGGTTCTACCCCTATGTGGGCTGCTTAACTTTATCATAACCACAGGTTATACCTAAATCTCCCTGTTGCCTTATAAATATACACCTTGGGTTGGCAGATTGACTAGGTGGGGAAAAGTGTATTTATCAGAGCAAATTATCACCACCTTTGAAAGCACACATCCTTCTGACAATGAGCAATATGGAAATGTCATTCATTATTCACCATTTCTGATGTGCTGAGCTGCAGCCTCAAAGAAAAAGATGGTGTCATGGTTGGACAAAATCGAATTAAAGCAATTATGAAAGTATCTTGTGTAATTGAGATACTGTTATGGCATCTTCCAAGTTTTCCTTGAATTTTGAACTATATTAGAGGCACCACCAACTCTGTGGCTTCTCCCACTGTAGTCCCTAAATTCAAGCCTTAATTTGTAGTATAGGGAAATCTCAAGAAAAAGCGTAAGGTACTTGATGAATTCCCAAAGATGGCTAAGACTCTTTCCGTGTCTTCAAAATATTTAATGAGAAAGAAAAAATATTTCTCTACAGAAGAGTACTGTAAGAACACTTCTCTGTCCCAGAGAGAACCTTTATCTTTCTTAGTGATAAATAAATGAGTGGCATTTCTTACTGTAATACTTTTGAAACCAAAATCAGTCAAAGGGAGAAATAAAGTGGGAGAAACCATTTATTGCTTACAAGCAGTTGTCCACTTCTGCTCACCTGTGTCTCTCACAACCTGGTGGGAGAAGAAGGGACCCCACCCAACCTCTTGGGTCCAGATATGCCCTTGCTGGCCCTTGTAATTACCTTTTGATATGGAGATGAACTACTTCTCTCCACCTCTCTTTAACACCTATTGATATGGAGATGTACTAAGGCCAGGGGAGAGAGTCTGGAAATATTGCCCATTTTACCCACACTTACAAATAATGACATACTGGGTTCAATGAAATATAAAACGGTTAATATGTTTAAAGAAATTAAAAAAGATAACATAAATTGGATGAAGTAGCACAAAGCTATCAACAGTGACCAACTAATTCACATAGGAACCAAATTCTTAGAACTTCAAGAAATGAGAAATGAAATCATAATTTAAAAACTCAAAAAAACTAGAAAGCTTAAACAGAGTATCAGACACAGCTGAGGAGAAAATCAGTCCAGAAAGCACAGGTAAATACATTACCCAGAATTCAACACAGAGAGGAAAAGAGATGAAAAATAAGAAAGGTGAGAAGACATAGACCAAAGAGTTTTCCTCACAGTGGTTCCCAAGCAGAGGCGCTACTGTTGACCTTAAGGGTCATTTGGAAATGTAGGAAGGCACATTCGGCGCCCTGCCAACCTTTAGTGTCTGGAAACCAAGCATGTAAAATGTCCTATAATGTAAGAATAATCCCACACAA